GTCCTGTCCACACCCTCCCATCTCATCTGCAGCACAGTCTAGGAGAGCCTGGGGTGTCCAGGCTCAGCTCTGGTCCTGTCCACACCCTCCCATCTCATCTAGGAGGGGGGGGCAGCAGTTCTGCTGAACAGGAAGAAACAGTCTGCTCTCTTTTGTACTCCGGACCTCTGGGGCAGACCGCGAAGTGCGATGAAATGGCATTTTCCACTGGTGGGACACCACCTCCCGGCCCACCCCAGCTGTCAGAGCAGGAGCACACACCTTGGGGGGCAGCCAGACCTGCTCCTTCACCCTGGCCAGGCTCCTTCACCAGTGGCCCCAGTGCTCCTCTTCTGTAAGTCAGATGGCACTTTCTCACACCGTTTCCCTCACAGGAAGCAAGAGCTGCCAGGAAGCACCTAGCATGGCCCTGACACACAGTAGGCGTGCAGTGATCTCTCCCGCTGCTCCGGCTTCCCTGTGTATGCCCACAACTAGACCTCGTACTCCAAGAAATCTGTCCAACAAGTCCAGTGTGGGGCTTTCACCTCCCATTTCAAGGTACACTACCTCTAGTAATGGAGCCTACGATTATTTTACTATTTTTGGCAGCCACATCCCTCACTGGTTCTCACTAACGAAAGCCCTACATTTCTTTCTGTACATAGCAGCTGCTCCTCAGCTCCCCCCAGCAGCCGACGGAACTGTCCTAGCTGCAGCGCTGGTGGCGGTGTTCCAGGAACATGGAGCATCCCTGGTGGCTTCCTCCATGTCTCTGGCTCTCTTTCCTTCCACTCTGCCATGGAAGGCTTGCTCAGCAAAGGAGGGACTGGACTGGGTAAGATTTGATAACCCAGTCCTCCTGTGCCTCCTCCCTGACCACCTCGATTCCTGAGGGGCGTCGCTGAGCTCCATGCGCGAGGGGGAAAGAGCGGACGTGCAGCTCCTCCCCGCTGATGAGACGGAGAATGGGCCTGCAGGAACTCCTCCCGTACTGCCAGGTCTCCGGAAACGCACTGAAATGGCTAGCAAGAAAAACTAGTTACTTTTTTCTTTATTCGTGATAGAGCAGGTGTGCACACCAATGACACAGAGAGAGAAGCGCTCTCCATGGCGTCTGGCCATGCCGTGATCCCCTTCTTCCTGTCCTCCAGCTTGTTAGAAGTGGGGCCCACTTGGGGTTATCTGCCATGTTCGAGGTCAACCAGGTCAGGGATTTGAACCATGGTCGCCTCGCCATGTGGCTTCCAGCACAGCAGTCTGGCATGCAACTACCTGTGCCACCAGGTTTGGACCGACAGAAACACATTGTTGTCATTGTCGCTGTAAATTTTAGAGGCAGGAGGTGGCTAGGAGGTGGAAACCAGGCGCACACATGAAGAACATTTCGGGTCATCGTTGGCACATTGCTTCTGTGTTTTCGCTAGCGTGCACGTGCTCCTGTGAACCGGGGTGCCTGCGTTTCTCTTCATGGCTGCTTGCCCTTCTTTCGGGCATAATTGCTGGATCCTACGGTAATTCCATTGGTTTCCTGAGGAACTGCCATCTCTCTTCCTACAGTAGCTGGGCCATCTTACGTTCCCATGAACAGTGTACAAGGGTTCTCATTCCGCCATCTTTGTCCACATTAAAAAAAAATAATTTATCATTATTTTAAAATTTGACCAGAGAAAGAGAATGGGAAAGCAAGAAAGCAAGTCACCACGTCGGGGACTGGAGCCACAGTCAGTTACGTGGAAGTTCAGTACTCCAACCACCATGCCACCTGCCTGGCCCCAGCCACATTTTTGTTGCTGGTTTGTAGCCATCCTGAGTATGGGGGATCCCATATGTGCTGGTATGCTGTGTTTTTGTTTTCACAGGTTTCCCAGTATAGTCGCGTGTCACGTGACAGGGATACATTCTGAGAAGTGTGCCACAGCTAGGAGACTGTCATTGTGTGAATGAGAGTATATTCCCATAAACCTCGATGGGACGGCCTACCACACACTTAGGCTACACGATACAGCCTAGGATCGCCTTGGGACCTGAGCAACAAAACAAGCACCATGCTGGGCACGTGTGCGCGCACGCCCCAAATCCCAACGGGATGGAGGAGGGACTGCAGTGTGACCACACTCGCACCATGCTGGGCACGTGTGCGCGCACGCCCCAAATCCCAACGGGATGGAGGAGGGACTGCAGTGTGACCACACTCCATTGAGGTGTAGGAGGTGGAAACCAGGCGCACACATGAAGAACATTTCGGGTCATCGTTGGCACATTGCTTCTGTGTTTTCGCTAGCGTGCACGTGCTCCTGTGAACCGGGGTGCCTGCGTTTCTCTTCATGGCTGCTTGCCCTTCTTTCGGGCATAATTGCTGGATCCTACGGTAATTCCATTGGTTTCCTGAGGAACTGCCATCTCTCTTCCTACAGTAGCTGGGCCATCTTACGTTCCCATGAACAGTGTACAAGGGTTCTCATTCCGCCATCTTTGTCCACATTAAAAAAAAATAATTTATCATTATTTTAAAATTTGACCAGAGAAAGAGAATGGGAAAGCAAGAAAGCAAGTCACCACGTCGGGGACTGGAGCCACAGTCAGTTACGTGGAAGTTCAGTACTCCAACCACCATGCCACCTGCCTGGCCCCAGCCACATTTTTGTTGCTGGTTTGTAGCCATCCTGAGTATGGGGGATCCCATATGTGCTGGTATGCTGTGTTTTTGTTTTCACAGGTTTCCCAGTATAGTCGCGTGTCACGTGACAGGGATACGTTCTGAGAAGTGTGCCACCGCTAGGAGACTGTCATTGTGTGAATGAGAGTATATTCCCATAAACCTCGATGGGACGGCCTACCACACACTTAGGCTACACGATACAGCCTAGGATCGCCTTGGGACCTGAGCAACAAAACAACAAGCACCATGCTGGGCACGTGTGCACGCACGCCCCAAATCCCAACGGGATGGAGGAAGGACTGCAGTGTGACCACACTCCATTGAGGTGTGCTACTCGCCCCATCTCTCCTGCAGGAACGTGTGCACCATATAATACATTCCAGGAAATGCTCCGTAACTTTTTGGGGGAAGGGGCATAGCGTGTGTGCGCTTGCTAGACAGTGAGAGGAAAGTGAGAAATCACTCCCCAGGGGAATGGCTACATCCCAATCCCGTCTCCTCTGTTCTCCTGGGATTTGGGGCACACATGTGCATGTGCTTAGCATGACTTTCTTTTCTTTTCTAGGGAGATTTTTGCTATAGGGCATGTGTGCTTGCTGGACAGAGACAGACAGAAAGTGAGAAATCACCCCTCGGGGGGGGGGGGGGCGGATGGTCACACCGCAATCCTTTCTCCTCCATTCTCCTCTTGGGATCTTGGGTATATATGCACACACACCTGGCGTGAGTTTTAAGCAACTGGGTCCAGGACTTGAACTGCAGTCGAATACATGGAAGTCCAGTTGGTAATGCTGTGTAATGTATCCATTATGCCATTTGCTGGTCCTGCCTGGCACGATTTTCAAGCCGCCAGGTCTGGGATTCAAACTGCAGTCGGCCATGTGGGAGTCCAGCACCTTAACCACCATGCCATCTGCTGGCCCCAGCACTATCTTTTGAACAGTAGGTGCCCAATAAATGTCTGACCAGAAAGTTCCCTGACTTGTGATGAGAGGGAGGTTGTGGAGTCAAAGCTGTGCCTTGATTGCTGGACTAACCACCCCGCAGCTGTGTAATCGTGACTCAATACCTTACGTTCTCTGCTTCGGTTTCTTCTGCTGAAACACCACAGTTCCTACCCTGGGTACTGTTGCAAGGGTCAGATTTATTTTTATTTTATTTCGCTTTATTTATTTAAATTTGACCAAAGAGAGACAGAGTGAGAGAGAGAAAAGGAGAAGGAGAGGAAGAGAGAAAATGAGAAAGCAAGCCGCCAGGTTCGGGACTTGAACTACAGTTGGCCATGTGGGAGTCTAGCGCCCTTAACCATTATGTCACCTGCTGGCCCCTTTATTTTTTTAAAGAGAGATTTTTTGCTATAGGGCACATGCGATCACCAAAGAGACAGACAGAAAGCAAGAAATCATCCCTTAGGGAGGATATCCACACTACAATCCCTTTTCCTCCATTCTTCTCTCAGGATCATGGGCAGGCATACACAGGTGCCCGGAGTGTTTTAAGCCACCGGATCCAGGATTTGAACCACAGTTGACTACGTGGGACTCCAGCAACGTAACCATGACATCATCTGCTGGTTCCAGCTGTGAGGGTGGGAGTAAGGAGAGAGAATGTATACAAAGCCTGCCTGGCTTGGAGTGGGGGCCCCACAGTGCTGGTTCTTTTCTGCCCCCTGTTCTGCTTACTCCAACCTCCCATGCACCTCTCTGTACACGTAACTGGATACCATGGTTCGAGTCCCAGCCTGGCTGGCCTGAAACATGCCACCCATGTGTGTGAGTTCCCAAAGTCTGATGGGCTGGAGGGTGGAGGTCATGGCATGGCCAGACCCTGTGAAGGGTGCCCCCCGACCATGTGTGCACACAAGTACTCTGTCATAAATAAAGAGAAAAAAACTTTAAAAAATTTTAAAAAAGAAAAGAAATGTAGAGGAACAGCACCTGCTCCAGCCTCAAGGCTTCTGTAAGGCAAAGGCACCTCCAGCCGAGGGGACTCTGGCTGAGGCTGGGCTGCTCCTGGGCTTGGGGGCCAGATCTTCCTCTGTGCGTCACAGGTCCTTGACGTGTCTCACTTCTACTCCAACATGTTTAGAAATACCTGCCTGCCACGTCCCAGCATGACTCCTCTCTTCCTTTGGAAGGAGCTCTGAACCCCCTGGAGAGGTTTCAGACACCCCCAAGCTGTCCCCTGCCACCCATCTGTGCAGTCCCCAACACTTATCTGAAACTGACCAGAGCAAACGCAGGCCCCGGACCCCTCGGTGTAACCGTGTTCACAAACTCCAGACACCCAAGTCCCGGCTGGCCCAGAGGGTGAGCTCTGGCCGGTGGCACGCCAACAGACAGACAAGCTTAGCAGCACGTTCATTAACTCTAACCATTTTAATTTAAATTAATAGCATTTCTGAAAGACAAACGCAGTTCATAGAAAATATAAAAACTTTTACTGTACAAATTTGACATCACATTCAAAAAAGCAGTGTGTGCCTTGTGGCCACAGAAGACGCTGGGTCTGCACACACCAGTGACATCCTGGCTGTTGTCACAGCCGAGCCTGGGCCCCTGGCTGCTTTCATGCTTACGCCTTTGCCCATGTCACCCCCCGAATCAGCACAGCAGAGTGGGCTGACAGGGCTGGCCACTCCCCTCTGTGGCCGCAGGACGAAATGCCATGGGTAGCCGAGGTGACATGGAGAGGTCGGTCTAGCCACCCCTGCTCGTAACTAGGCCAGAACTAGCCAGGCTTCAAGACTTCGAGTTAGAAGGAAACCCAGAAGGCTGCGGCTCTGGTGGTTAAAGGCAGCAGGGAAAGGCTGGGGGCTGGAGGTGCCCTGACGGGCCACAGCTGAGGCTCCACTCCCAACCCCAGTGGAGACCTCCACAGCCTGAGAGCTCCCACCACGGCCTTCCCAGCCTTCTCCACCTCCCCCACAGCGGGCTGTGCAGTCTGAATTCACAGTATCTGTCGTCCTTCATGTCTGCAGACGGAGGGTACACAGAGGGCTGCGTCTTCCTGACCCCGATTCACAGTCACTTAAATAAAGGAGGGTGGAGGGGACAATGGCAGGGAGTTTTCTTACATGACAGGCAGTGCAGAGGTGGTGGGCGAGAGCCAGGAGGCTGCCCAAGGCCTTGGAGAGGATGGCGGGGGGGTGTCCCCAGTACCTCAGCTCCACTCTCGGGCCTAAGTGGCTGGGTTCTCAGCAGATATCAGTCTCCCACCAGATCGTCAGTTTCTGAAGGGGGTGAACATGACAGCTCCTAACCCTGGGTGTCGCCCACCAGAACAAGACCAAGAGCTTCTCCAACGGTGACACCTGCGGGCTGTGATGTCTACTGTGGCTGGGAGTCAGGGCATGGGGAGGAGTCGGTCACCCAGTCCCAACTGAGGGAAGGCTCTGTCACATGGACAGTTGAGAGGCTGCAGACACACATACAGGGACCCCTCTGACTTAGCCATGAGGTGGCTGCCATACACCATGTGGCTTTGGGGTGGGGAGGTCACACTGCGGGCTGATAGGGGAGGCCCAGGGCAGACAGTCCCACCACAGAGACTCTCCCTTACCCCTAGGGCTGAACCCCACTGGCTTACAGCTCCTCCTGCCACCTCCCACACCCTGACCGGAGAGGGATAAGATGCTAATATCCCTGGGAGCCTGGCCCGGAGAACGGCGAGGCCACCCTGCAGCTCCCAGCAGAGTGGCCCATTTTGTGTCCTGTTTTGACCACACACAGGTGCTTGGACAGCTCTGAAGATTAGGGGGCTTTGGAGGGGAGTCCAGCTAAAAGGGTGGGAGCCACATGCTGCCCCCTAGCCTCTTCCTGCCCACAGAGTGTGGTCACAGGTGTTCTGGGCCTGCATCTAGCCACGCCTCCACTCCACTGTCCTTCCCTCCTCTGGCTTTGGGGCCCAGCGTGCCCAGTCTCCACCAAAGGCTTCTTTGCCACTTGAGACTTATCTCTATGGGGGCAGTTTCTAACAGTGTGGTTCCTCACACAAAGGTGCTCCCCAACCCAGCCCCTCTTCTGCTTCACATGGACAAAGGTGGGAAGTCTGGGAAGGCCCGGCAGGTGCAGGGCTGGAGTGAGGTACAAGAAAGGGTGGATGGGCAAGTGCCCACCTGAGCTCAGCGCAAGACGGAGGACACAGGAGTGGGCGGCTGGGGTTCAACGCACTAGGGAAGTAGAAGAGGGCGCTGTTCTAGAACCTTCTGGTAGGACTAACAGTGGGTTTGTGAAGTGCCAGGGTCATTCTGAGGCTAGGAATGGAGGCTCAGGGACCTGCCGTCTTCTTCCTCCCTGTTGTCTTCCTCGTTCTCGTGCACTGAGCTCTCATGTAGGTGCTGGCCCTGAGCTCTGGGGTCAAATGTCAGTGTGGGGCTGAAATGCATCTGAAAGCTGAGACCCTGAGTCCTGCTGCCTCGGTACCTGCCTGGTGGCTTCATGACAGAAACCACTTCTTCAAGATTCCTAACCTTGCAGCGTAACCTCTGCGAGGTACCCTGGGATCAGATGCAATTTGCATTTTGTCTGCCTCAACTTTTCCAGAAGGAGCAGGTGGGACTGCAGGTTAATCCAGTTTGTGAATGCGAACTCTCTGGGAACTCCCAGCTCCCACAACCCAGCTCAGTAGCTAGCCAGGGTTTTCTCTGCAAGGTAAGGAAGGAACAGGGTCCCCTTACCTGGATAAGGGCAGAACCTTACAGATTCCCCGCCTACGGGATTTAAGGCCAAAGCAGAGGCTGGATCAACCTCGCAGGCCCCCCACCCTACCTCACGAATGCCACAGTCCCCACGCTTTTCTTCCTTCAGCCCGGCGTGGGCCCCTCACTGCCTACAGGACCCTCCGGAGGGGGCAGCCCCGTCTGCCATCCCGGCCAACGGCGCCAGCACACCTGTGCACGCCCGCTTTTATTATTACCTACATAAAACGTCAAGTTCACGCAGCACAAACACACATGTAAACATCGGCTGTCTGTTGGGACAGGCTTGGTGGCTGGTGGTGTGACTCCGTCTCGGGCCTCAAGTGATTCGTGGATGGAGTCTGAAGGGTGGCCCATGCTCCTGGTCTGTAGCGCCGGCAGGCTGTGTCCTTTTGTCCTGGTGGTGGTTTGGGTGTTTTTCCAAAACACATCAATAAAAAGGAAGCGACTGGTGGCAGAAAAGCCGCACAGCTGGCTACATCTTTGGGTTACTGGACTCCAGGACGCCCAAGCCAAACCTTTCAAACCGGGGTACAACTTTGCTGCTGTTAATGCTGCAAAGGGGAACAAAAACAAGGGTTACAGCCCCGCGGGTCTTAATCAGGACTAGAGGGACGCTAGGAGCTCGACAGAGGACCCGGTCACACAAGGAGTGAAAATGACCATGCGGCCAGCATCCTTGACAGAGCTGCCCCTCACACGGAGTCCTCACCATGTCCCCCAGGGCAGCGACACTGACTGCACAGCTAACTCCCTAGCACCCCAGCTCAGTAGCTCCCTGGGCCCATCTGAACTGTCTTCTCATGGCCATCTGGGGAAGCTCTTGCTCCATGTGGAACTGGGGACACACCAGAAGCCTGACTCCCAGCACCAGGAGTGCCATCACGTGCTCCTTTCAAAAGGGACTCATCAGGGGACCAGCACCTGGAGTAATGGCTATGTCGCTGGACTCCCATGTAGCCAACCACAGTTTGAGTCTTGGACCCGGTGGCTTAAAACTCACGCCGGGCGTGTGCGTGCCTGCCCAAGATCCCGAGAGGAGAATGGAGGAGGAGGGATTGCGGCGTGGCCATCCCCCCTGGGGGTGATTTCTCGCTTTCTGTCTCTCTGTCTCTGTCTTTTTGACAAGAGCGTGTGCCTTATAGCAAAAACCTCTCCAAAAGAAGAAAAAATAAATAAATAAAGGGACTCATGGGGCCAGCAGATTCCCCCAGAGCCTGCTTCCAGAGGCCAGACTCGAATTGGCAGGTCCTGCCGGGGCAGGGCACTGCATGGCGTAAACTGTGTGGTGGCTCTGCCCTAGGCGGCATCAGCCACACTCCTGACAACACCAGCTTAGGGTCTGGTCTATAGAGCACAGGGCAGATGTGCCGTGAGCAGCAGGGCCTGGCTGGGGCGGGGCTCTGTTCCCATTAGTGAAACTGTTTGCAGACTCTTTGCTTCCGGACTTTTCTGAACATGCTACCAAGGACACCACCCTTCCAGCTGGTCTTTCACAACTCTCCACGTCTGCTACCTTTACTCTACGGGGGGCTGAGAGAGGAGCCTGGCAGAGGGCTCCTTTGACTAGACCATGGCACTAAGCCCTGGGCAGCTCTGCAAACACGCCACTCCTTGTTGGACATGACCCGCACGAGTTACAAGCCAAGCAAGACCCCTCCCCCAGTACTGAACACACTTGGCAGCAGGCCGGAGTGCTCGAGGGTGGGCTCCGGCTCACTTGCATGTTAGTGAGCAAAAACAAGACCAGCCCGCAGGAGATGAACAGGAGAGAAATAACAGCCACGTCCAAGAGGAGTTAGAAACTGCTCAAACCGCCTTGGAGGGGAGCTCCGTTAGTGGGATCCTCGGAGACAGTTACTCAGGCCCGCGTGGACCCCGTGGAGAGGGGAGAGGACCAGTTTCAAAACAGAGAGAGCACAAGGAGAAGTCTTGCGAGAGATCGGAGCAGCAGAGCTGGCACCCCGGGGTTAGTGCCCGCGTCCCCTTTTGCGTTTTAGCAGAAGTCCCGGTGCCGAGTTGTCGGTTAGGAGGAGGAAAGCCCCCGGCACATGCAAGCAGCCAGGCCTACAACCTACGGAGGGAAGAGAAGGGAGAGAGCAGCGTCAGCACCAGGGCCCTGGGGGAGCCTGGAGTGGGGCAGGGGGATCGAGGCCTAGCCAGAGAGGCTGGGCAGGGGATCTTCCCTTCAGAGGGAGAAAGGGACACCCCTGTCTCCATTCCCTAGGCTTGGCAGTAGGGCGAGCTTGGAAGGGCGCCTGGGCAAAGCCTCTTTGAGCTGCCCCAGGGCAAACCACAGGACGTCTGCACAGAGGCCGGGTACAGGCCCTGGCTCCGGAGCCCTGGACTCCCAGATTGGATTTCTTGGCTTTGCCATTTCTGCTCACTGAAGTCTCTTCTTTGGAGCTCTGAACAGAGTGGCCCCTGGGAATTAGGATCCCTGATCTGAGTTCTCGCCCACCCACCTACTCATGGTGTGGACCGAGGCCTGTGGGTCTCTCTCTCACTCACTGGGAGAAACGCAAGCCTGCGTGGCCCTTGCTGGTGCCATCTTGGCTGCGAGAAAACCGCTTTGGTTTATGGGAAATAAAACACACAGAGAGTGAAAGGTGGAGTGCAAGGACAGAGCAGGACGCGGGTGTGCGAGGGCCGAGCAGCGCAGGCAGAGGATGCAGGAAGTAACAGAAACACACTATTCCTCCAGAACGGGACAGGCGTTCTTAAAGTCGGGGTGACCGTAACGTCCTTTCCCGTAGTAGCGGCTCCGCCAGCGGCTGGGAGTGGCCCGTGACCATTTCGCCGGGTGTGGGAAGAGTGCCGTTCAGCCCGTCAGCCCCAGCAGGTGATGGTGGCCGGGTGCCAGCAGACAGATGGAGAAGTCAGGATGCCAAGACAGGGGGACATGACAGGACAGGCCAGCACATCCACCACCCCCCGAAAATAAAAATGCCACAAGACCAATGGGAAAGAAAAGAGAAAATGAGAATTAGAGGTGGAGTGCCACCAGGTAAACAGTGTGAGCAGGAAGTCCTGGCATGCTACTCAGTTTGTGGCACCCTCCCCTTTAAGGGCCAGAAGTAATGGCTTTGGGCAGGCGACTTGTGAAATGAGGATGGGAGCTCTGTGGCGTTAGGGAACCCAGCGCCATCTCCTGGGTGCCGGTGCCCACCCGGTGACCCCTTCTCGTTCATGGATAAGCATCCTGGGGCCCCAGCTGCTAACTGAGTTGCCCAAAGTCACCTGGAGCAGATCAGAGGCTGGCCCCCCATGCAGGAACTGGGGGCTGGGGCCACCTGGAGGAGGTAGCACACCTCGACGCCAAAGGCACTCCACTCTATCTATTTTATACAGTGGGGCTCTGTGCGAGACTTCGTTCTTAGGAAGTGCCCTTCGCCTCAAAAATGTCTAGTACCGTTCATCTCACCCAGAAACTGAGCCTGAGCCAGCCGTGGCCACCGCCTATTTCTGAACCGTCCACAAATGAAGACAATTTTTACCTTTCTAAATGGTGGCCGGGGCGCAGGGAGAGATGGGGCATCCAAAGGAGGCTATTCGGTGACATGAGAAAGTCCCCTGCAGCCCTGCGGTCCCGATTTCCCTAACTGGGTGACGGCAGTTCCCTGTTTATGCTCTGGCAGTGGCTGGGCCCATGCTGCTCAGCTGCGACAGGGATAGTGCTTGGGGCACCACAGATGCCACTGCCAAGAGTTAGAACTCCAGCTTCCTGTTGGCTGCAAAGCCTGAAATATTTACCACCTGGCTCTTGGCAGCAAGAGTTTGCCCGACCTGGATCTTGCCCAACCTCCACCTTTTAAAGCTGCAGAAACCGAGGTCCCAGAACAAGGAAGGAATTTCCCGATTCTCACAAAGGGTTATGGCAGGGAGAGGTCTCTTTTTTAATGTTCTAGCAGAGGTGGCCAAAGGGACAAAGAAGAAACAGAACCAGACAGAATGCAGGAGACGTGACAGTGGCCTCGGCTGCCCCATGGAGACTAACCCTACACCAAAGGGTGCAAAGGGTTATGGGATTAAGTATGAAGGGAGAGGGCTCCTAGTATCGAAGCACCACATAAACTCCCTGGTGGGGGGCTGGTCTTTGAGCTGGTACCAGTTTAGCAATAGTGGCTCTGCTTGTTTTAGTGACACTTAGGACCCTCACCTCTCGGGCTGCCAGCTGGCCCACCTTCCCCTTCCTAGGCAACTCTCTTTTCCTGGCCTAGCCTGGGCCAGGGTTGGTCTGACAACAGTGATTTGTGTAGTTTTTCACAGATGCAAACTGGAGGTACTCGCCTGTCAAAGAGCGTCTCCAAAATGAACTTGGCAAATGAAATCTTGGTATCACTGGGGTGAAGGGACAGTGACCTCTGACCCATCTGCTCTATACTCCCTAGATCAATTTGTAGGCAGACAGAGCAAGGGGCCCTCTAAGACCCCAGGTAAGGCTGCAAGGGCCCAGCCGGCAGGTGCTGCTCAGGGAGGGGCGCTTACTCAGCTGACTTCCAGAAGTGCCCAGGATGGGACAGGCGGC